TAGACCTGTCAACGGCTCCAAGACAAAGCAGAAGTAGAAAGACGTTCAGTAATCCGAGCAATGAAATCGCCAGAAACAGAGGGATTATCAGAATCGCAGAGGTTATCAAAAGATCAATGACCTGACAAGCGATCGGCTCGTGTCCATAGCTAAAGCAATGAAAAACACTAAAAAAATCAAAGCCCTAAAAGATCTTACATTAAAATCTTAGTAACCCACTTGTAGAGAAATCAAGGAGAAGTCGATGTTAAAAAACGCATAGAAAATGATAGAAAACTCTAGCGCCGGAAACAAGTCGTCTTCTCCGGCAATGGTACTGGATCGACTTCAACTTTTCCAGCGTCATGTTCGATCGCCGAAATCAACTTTTCCGGCGGCGCATTCGCTTACACCACCGGCGTGAGGGAGCTGATTTTCGGAATCTCAGTCACTGCAAGCGTGAAGAGTGGTTCTCACTTGCATTGGTCGAAATAGATGATGAGGATATTTTAGTAATTTTATTTGATAATTCATACATTATTCAAAATAGCTGGGGGTATTTAGGATATTTTATCTTCTAATTGACGGTAATTTAACAGTAGGTATTAAATTGTCGCAAACTGAAAATTCGGGTAGTTGATTGTCACGATTTAAAATTCGAATACTAAATTGACACTCGGCCTAAAGTATAAGATATCTATCAGGAATTTTTTTATAAAGTATTATATATAATTTATAAAACTTAATTAGTGGGTTAGGCCCAAACCGTGACTCGGCCTGGCCCATGTCACTACTAGTTTGGCGAAACCCCTTATCGTACCTGACCCGTTGACATTAATTTATTCGTATYGGTAAGAAACCATCCACACTTTCGAAATTGAGAATTAAGTAAAAGCTCATTCTGAATATAAGATACAATATTATAAATTATAGTCATTAAAAATGTATATTTTAACAATTAACATGACTACCCGGGTCAAATCTAATCAAAACCCAGTAGATAGGAATCATAAGATTGATTCGAATTCAAGAATTAGTCACCAGAAGGGTCCATTCGAATATCTGAATCCTAACCGTTCAATATGATGAAGCAACGAAGACTCCTTGATTGATGTTTCACCTATGCCAATAATAATTAAAAAAAGAAAAAAAATGGCAGTGATGTGCCACATCTGAACTAATGGTGAAATCCGATCTCCCTTTCATAGTTTTTATTCGCGTGTGTTAGAAACTGAGAAAGAAACCTCTCCAAGGGTTTCTTTTTTTAAGGCGAAAGCGTGAAGAGGGTTTCAATTGATATAAACGTTTAAGAAGAACCAATCAGAGACGTAAATCACTATCATTTTAGCCATCATTTAAAGTTTAAGCGTTAAATTAAATCAGATTTGACTTTTCAACATCTATCCCCCCCCCCCAAAAAAAAAAAAGACTTTAACAACGTCCAAAGGTTCTTCGTCAGCTCCTTTCCCCACAGAAGAAAGCCTTGGACGTTATCTATGAATAAAAAATAAACCCATCGATGAGCATTTATGTAGTAAGCAAAAGAACACGCATAAGTATTGTTTTGAGGGAATCGTTTGTTTTTGTTTTTTGGGTTGGGACTTGGGACAAGGCACCAGAGTCAGTCAGACCCGGGAGTCGCGTTCTTTCATCTTTGTTGCCTGCCCGGCTCCCCCTCCCTCTGAGAGAAAGAATGGCGTGCAATGAGGAGGATTTTTGTAGTAATCGTCTGGTTTTGAAACCGGAAGAAGCAGGGCTGGTCGATCTCATCTACCTTTTATGGTCCTCTAACATAGAGAATAGAAGATTTGTGGACTACTCGGAAGAAACGAGGATAACAGAGTTCCGACGTCGGTGGCTCATTTTCATCTCTGTCCTTTTACAAAAAATTCTGCTCTCAATAGCTAAGCCCCTGTCTTGGGTTGGCTCGCTGTTTGAGAAATGGCTTAACCTTTTGTCAAGCAACCGCGATTTGGCCGTGCTCTTGCTAAATCTATTGAGAGGTCAGTCTCTGTTTTAACTTAATTTCCCCTTCTTCATTTAACTAATTAATATATAGTAACTGGATGAGGAGGTGTGCTAACCCTACGGGATCACCGTCATGCTGGGTAGTGGGTACCGGACTACCGGCATCACTGTCTACCCGCAGGATATATAGCACAGAAGCACAGAGAAACTTGGTGGAACCATGCATATACCACAGGGACAGTAGTGTTGGTAGCTAGCAGTCATGAATCTCTTGATTTCACCAAGCCTCAATTCATTATTTCCCACCATTGATCAATACCCACACCTACCCAGGAAATAATAATTATTATTATGTAAGAGCATGAGAATTGAGATGTTCCTCATGTATGACTGCGATCTCATGTGCATGAGTAGGTGGAGATAGAATCATTGTGGGTAAGAGGTGAGGATCATTATTAATATAGGCAATCATTTTATTCACTAAAGGATGAAGTAATAATAAATGATTAAAATGTTTTGAAAATCAAAGAGTGGGCCAATCGTTTGAAGCAGTTGAACCTGTAGGATCCAGACATATGGCATGATCCCAACTTAAGCGTGACCCAAAAAAAAAAAAAAAACTCTTATTGCTTCAGCTTGCTGCTTGCCCCCACTTCCTCTCTCTCCCAAAGTCCCATGTGCGAATCATCCATTCCACATCCCACTAGGATTATAAAAAATATATATTTCTTCCATAATTAATTGAATAAAAGTTTTTATTTTATCATATTTTTCTCCGTAAAACTAGTAGAAAGAAGAAATTTTATATCATAGCTAGCATGTCCCACAATCCCACAGATTGTGCACCATAACCAATTAACCATTCTTTCCGTGAAAGGCTCACTCAAAGCAAACAACCTTCCTACTGCCTCAAGGTCAAGGACGATCGGATCGGACTTGAACCAATAATTTGATTGCGCCCTTCCTGGAAGGAGCGAAAATGGAATTCTCTCACAAACGCTCCATAACATATCCCAACCAACCAACCATGTATTGAGAATATTTTCTATTGAAAACTTTTTAAGATGTTTGTTCTCAAGGCACACATTGAGATGTATATGTGCGGCACAGATGTGACTTGCGGAAATGACACCCTTCGGATAAATACCCTAACCTTAATTGTTAAGAGTCTTCTGACTGAATTGATCCGGCGTTTCAGTATGTATGATCATACTGTTCAGTTGTATGATCCGGTGTTTCAGTATAAGTTCGAATTTTACACTAATAACCAATCGAGTGGTTTCAGTTCAGTTAATACATTAGTTGAATTGTTTCAGCAGAGACACGAATTGGATTCCTGTTACCTGCCAGCCATTAATTTTGGAGAGGGCCGGGGGATTATTAGTGTGGCGTTGTGGGAAATTCTGGCGTATCACCAAATATTTAAAAAAAAAAAAAATTACACGATTTACACCTATAGGATGATTTGAGATTTTTTGTTTTTATTTATTATTTTAGAGTTATATATAATTTGATGGCCTATGGTGGGGCTGATTCGTTGTCTTTTAGTTTTTAGAATATTTTTGCAAAGTGCTTTAAGGCATATATATGCTTGTGCAGCAAGTTTCAGGTTTGGCCGTTTAGGTTCCTTCTGAGTTCTGCCCTTCTGCATTATGCGTTGATAAATTTGTTTATATATCACATTTATTTATTTATTTATCTTTTCTGCCCGGCATAAAACAATTAAGATGATGGCTTTCATTCTGGGGAAGCCATCTCTGACAGCTATTTGTTTTTTTATCCGAAAAATTATTGCTGATTTCTAATAATAAAATCTTACAGTTCTGTATGGATAAGTTTCTGTTTTTGAGCTTCAAATTATATATAAAACCAAAAAGTATTCTGAGTATTTGATAAGAATTGCTTTACAAACATTTCAATCTAAAACCCAAAATCAGATCTCCATTCTTTTGGGTTTTAAAAGCATAAATCTCATAGCTTATCCAAACATGACTTAAATATATGATGAATAAGAAATGTTGATATTGTGACAATTTTGTTTATATATATTATGTATATATAAATAAAATCCTTTAATTCATTAGATATTTTTACCCATTATCTAAGAAACATACAACGGACATAAAAAATGACATATATGTCTTTTACTCTCACTCCAAAAACTGTCCACTTATAACAGTTAAGAAATTGATCACTTAGAACAGTTCAAAAATTGTCCACTTATAACTATTCAAAAACTGTTCATGAATTACAATAGTTTTGTTTGAATTTTAAACTAATAAACTAGGATGCTCTGCTCTGATGTCGATATACAGGAAATGTAGTGATACCTGATGAAACATCAGCAACTTTTAAATCAAGCGTGGCGTGTATAGACTGGCGAGTGGAATTGGATAAAAGCATCACACCTGAAAATAAAAAATACCATGCAACACTATCCATAATGGCTGCTAAACTGATCTACGAAAATGAAGCCTTCATTGCATCCATAATCAGAGATCATTGGAAGGTATTTACTTGTTTATTTATTTTTATTTAACTGTTGCACATGGTGGGGGCCTTTTCCTCAATTTCAGCATCTATATATATATATATATATGTATAACATTTTCTAATTTTAACATTTTTTTTCTTTATTTTTTTCATGTGGTTGTGTACAGATGGAGCTTCTGGGTTTCAACAATTTCTGGAACTGTAAGAAATTCTATGCTTTTCTGTGATTGTTTTCTCCAGTTTAGGCCACGGGATCATTGTATCACTGTCTTAGTCGGTATCTATATCACATTCATCAGTTGAGCTTATCATTACCATCTCTGTATTTATAAAAAATATAATATTTTATTTTGGTATATGTTTATATAATATTTATACATAAAAATATAAAATTATATCATATTTATATTTTTCAACACTAACTTAAACTTAAACGGTTAAACTCAACCCAAACTTTTTTCAGACTGGGTTCGAGCTAATCCAGCCCAAGTTGCATTCCTACCTACTAGGGCCTACATGGTCCAAACTCCAAATTAATATATGAATAATTTGTGTAAAGAAAAAGGAAATTAATAATACGAAGGATGGTGGTGGCAGATTATCAGAATGTGCCTTCAACACAGGCCTTGATATTGGAGGCTGACCCCAAGTTGATGGTGGTATCGTTTAGAGGCACGAGACCTTTTGACGCAGAGGCATGGCGAACGGATGTTGACATGTCCTGGTATGAACTCCCTAACGTGGGAAGGGTCCATAGTGGCTTCATGAAAGCTCTGGGTCTACAGCAATCGGGTTGGCCCAGAGAGATTGAGCAAGGGGATGACCAACAACATCCCTTTGCTTATTATGCCATTAGAGAAAAGTTGCGGAAGCTACTGAAGAACAACCATGGAGCAAAGTTCATTGTGACAGGTCACAGCTTGGGTGGTGCTTTAGCCATTCTGTTCCCGCTAGTACTGGCATTGCACCAGGAAGACTGGATGTTGAAGAGGTTGGAAGGAGTGTACACGTTTGGGCAGCCTAGGGTTGGGGATAAGCAGCTTGGAGAGTTCATGGAAACACAGCTGCGCTCTCATGGTGTCAGGTATCTAAGGTTTGTCTACAGCAATGACATGGTGCCTAGGTTGCCCTATGATGATTCTACTCTCATGTTCAAACACTTTGGAACCTGTATCTACTTTAATAGCTTCTACCAAGGCCAGGCAAGTCTCTTCCTCTTTCACATCATAGTATAATAATCCCATTGCTTGGAATCTGCTGGTTATTTTATCGGTAATTCGGTATTTCTTAAGGTACGTAGTAAATTGGTTAATCGAATAATTGACCAATTTATTCGCGATCTCATGCCTCTATTATGGATCCCACAGAAAATGAATTCTCTAGAAAGTATTGTTGTACTGGTTGCCCTTAGAGGGAGGGTAGGTAAGTTGCTCATTCATCCATCAAAAAACATACTCTGCTCCAGATTTGAGTAAGTGATAGTGCAAAAGAACACTTGCATTAGGAAACAGGTTACCTAGGTGCCAAAAAAACGAACAAGGCCTTAGTGGGATCCATTCCTGAATAAGGGATGAAGATGTATTTAGTTATTTACTGTTTTATGTATTGCATTAGTTATATTCCTTTTCTAGAGGAAAGAAAAGCATATTACTTTTTCACTAATTCCTCTTGATTTGATCCTTTTGAGCAGATTTTGCGGGAACAACCAAATAAAAATTACTTTTCGGTGTTGATGGCGATACCAAAAATCATAAATGCATTTTGGGAGCTGATCAGAAGTTTCATCATTCAATTCACAAATGGGCCTGATTATAAGGAAGGCTGGTTTTTGAGATTGTTTAGGGTAATAGGATTGGTAGTCCCAGGATTACCGGCTCATTTCACTCAAGATTATGTCAATGCCACCAGATTGGGATCTTCCAGTTTATATGATTACCTCTGTGATCTCAAAGCTGAGTAAAACTAGAAAACCATCCATCTATACTACCTATAAAAGAGCAGAATGTTCCTTTTTTCTGGATTTTTCAATGGACATCTTTTATCTTTTGTCTAAGTATCATAGAACGGGCATAAATAGGGCATATATATCMTTTACTCTCACTCAAAAAACTGTTCAAAAATTGTCCATAAATTATAAATAGTTTTGTCTTAGAGAAACTCACATGCAAATACACGTACATATTTACTAGTGTAACAAAGTGTCCTCAAAGTGAAAATTGCAGTAAATTCTAGTATTATACCATTTTAATGATTTTACAGTTTTACTTGCCATGTTTGGCACTCTGGTCTGGCAGAAAAATGAATTTCAAAAATTGATTTTCATGGAAAATTATTTGATGACATTTTCTTTGTATTTGATAAACATGAAATAAATTTGAACTAGGAAATCCACGGGAAGTATAATATGCCCCCTGTATTTAATTAGACTTTGTAGATGTGCTTATCAGTGAGTGGTTATCTCCTTGGATGATCAAAACCAAGGTTTTTAAAATTGATTCGGAGAATGAATCGGTCAGGGGTCCGGTTCACGGGTCGAACAGTCAGCCTATTCTGATAAAAATAAAAAAAATAAAAAATGGTTAAAATCGTTCGAACGRTTAACCGCCCGGATCAACGGTTTACTAATCAAAATCAACGGTTTTTAAGAAAAATTTAATTTTGAAAAAAAACAAAATCAATCACCTGACCAGTTCCGGGTTTCCGATCCAACTGTCCGGTCTGGTCCGGTTTTGAAAACCATGATCAAAACTGATGTTGTTAGACTCGTTTTGGACCTGATGCCCACACCATCAAAACCAAGAATTCACAAGCCTAAATGGTTTTCGAAGAAGTTAATTTATATGCCTAACATGCGTTACACCCTTTATTATTTATTATTTTGAGCTTCTTCGTAAAATAGTTTTAAAGATGGTATTGAATCATTTCATTTTTTATTTTTGATATGTTTATACTTTTATTTAAATGAATTAAGGGTCTATTTGGTTTGCGGGATATGGATACAATCGGAATCATAATGATTTAACTATTTGGCTGAGTGGAATTAGAATATCATTCCCACTTTTTGGTAGAATCTAATTCCTATTTTTAGTGAAATGGTAGGTGGAATCTCATTCCCATTTCACCATTTGAGGGAATGGATATTTCCTCTCTTTCATTAAGAATGATCACCTAATTTTGATTCCAATTGCCAACCAAATAGACCCTAAATGATTAAACCACATCGCTGAATCATTCAAACTGTGACTCAGTAACCTGGTATTTTATGCGGTTTGTGTAAAAGATTTATAGTTGGGATTAGGGATGCCAATGGGTTGCGTCTAATAATAAACCCATGTTAGGGTCAAGTTAATTCAGATGTAGGGGGTCAGATAGTATTCCTACATGTAATATTTTCACTCTTTAACCAGAGTCGAGTTTTGGTTTAGTTGGCCACCCATCCATTCATGATACCTCTATGGGTGTCAGGTTGAACTTAAGATTCAAAGTATTGATACGTATCATTCCAGGATCCCACCGATACGACCCTATAGTGGGTGTATCGGGGGTCTGACCAGTTCAGGGGATGAGGGAGACCTAAACCAGCCCCCCTGAATTGGTTTCAGAAAAAAAATAAAAATAAATAAATAAATAGTATCGATTCGTCTAATACACCCATACCAGCATATCGGGCGTATCAATATTTTGAACCTTATAAGATTGGATAGGTTCAGAAAATTACATATCAGTGTTTTCAATCCTCCATTGACCTGACTGGATAAATCATTCAAATCATCACCCAATCATGACCCTAGGGCTGGTTCTTCCAAAATCCGGTCTTTGGTAAAAAACAGTTGATATAGTCAAAAAACCATTCAAAAAAAACAGTGTTGAATTTAATAATATTCTGAATTTTGAGTAAAAGATTTTTATGYATTCTCTTTCTACATGTTTTAATCAAATAAGTAGAAATTCTGGTACTTGTTCATGTTATTTTACCTGTTTATTGCTTATATATAACCAAAAATAATAAGAAATTAGATGCAGGTTCTGGCCCCAATCCACCCCATCCCCACCCTCAAATGCAGGGAGGGTAAACCAGGGTAGGGTTTTGCAATTTTCATGTGCATAAAGGGTTTGGATTTTGAAAATTCAACCCGCTCGCAATGGGTTTTGGAGAGGATATGGGTTGGGATGTATAGAGAGGTGGGCAAGGTCTAAAATTTATAAAACTTTCCCAAACCAAGGTTCAAAATATCAATATGCCGGCATATCAGGCCATATCAGTACTTTTTTTTATTTTTTTCAAAACTAGTTCAGGGGGACTGGTTTAAGACTCCTCCACCCCCTGAACCGGTCAAAACCTCGATACACCCCTTATAGGGGCATATTGAGGAGCTCCCGAAACGATACATATCGGCCAATTTTACCCCAAACCTGCTCCATTGCCATTCCTTTGTACATCAATGTATGTGCAAACTTCCAAGGCCATGACTTTGCACTCAGGTGTCCAATTGGAGTGATGTTTTTTTAACTTTAGGTAACTTTTCAAGGTCACAAGTTGCATAGTCAAGGTGCCTTTCCCAGCTATTTTTCCAAAAAAAAAAAAACTCTTTATGGCCTCAAATTACACATTTTAACATTGTTTTACAAATACAAATTAAAAACTAAATTAAAAATATAAATTAAACATATATTACATCTAAAAACAATTATAATTTTTTATTGATAAAAAATACATGTTTATACATACACATTTTTGTTTTTTACATTTGAAATTAGAATGGGACTGTTAGCATGCATTAAATATGGTAGCTTTAAATGGAACTTAAATGTCTACCTAAAAATTGGAATTTAAATGGGACTTTGAATCCAAATGGAAATGTTAAAAGAAAATCCAGATCTAGGCACTATATATTTTAAAGATACGCTCATCAATGTTATCATTTAATGGAACTGCATTTACATTTACAGCGATCTGCATGTGCAGATGTTTCTTTGGAAACTTGCAAAGCCATCTGCATTTACGTCTCTTCCAGTTCTAGAGTTCATTCATTGCCATTTTTAGCGTTCAGAGCAATAACAAGCTTCCAAAAGTAGAGGGACTTACATTCTAAACACACCATATTTGGTATCTTCTGGGACATTTTTCGATGCAGAGAGGCAAAGACCTAAAACACTTCTTGTATCTGCGGGATCAATGATTCCGTCATCCCATAGTCTTGCAGTAGAGTAGTAAGGACTTCCTTCTCTTTCATATGCTTCAACAACCTTGCTCTTGAAGTTCTCTTCTTCTTGCTTAGTCCACTGCAGCAACATACACAGACACATGAACACAAATAAAATAAATAAAAATTATTTCTTCACCCCAATTATGACATTTCTCAGTAACAAAAAAATAACAGGTTTACCTCAATTCCTTGCCTTTTCTTAGTGCTCCTTTCTATTTGAGCCAGCACACCAGCAGCCTTCAAATTGACCAAAAAAAGCAAATCTATATTAAAAAAACTAATTTCCACTACATGATTGCAATAGCACTTTTACAACATTCTTTGACAAGGTTTTAAGCTCAATGACTTAGCAGTTAGAACAAGAACATAATGACTCGAGTAAACAAGTTACCTGAGGGCCACCCATCACAGATATTCTTGCCGTTGGCCAAAGGAACAGAAAATTAGGGCTATATGCACGGCCACACATTCCATAGTTCCCAGCACCAAAGCTTCCACCAACAATGATTGTTATTTTGGGAACCTGAAAATGTATTATTTGTTTGAATTCTAATAAATAGGCATATTAAGATGCATCAAATTACATAATTAAAAATGAATATTTCCACCAGAAACAATGGAAAATCCATCAAAGCATAGAGCAATATATTTATAATTCATAATATAGGGTAGAACCATTTCTGAAATGGAACTCTTGTTTGACAAACATTTCTAACAATAACATAATCTAAATACATTGTTGGATTTCCATGTCACTTRTGACGGAAATATCCAGTGAGATTGGCCACTTGAAACCTTCAGATGCTTAAAAAGCTCTCCTAGATGCATGAATAACTGTGTATGTGCGTGTCTGATATAACAGATACTGTTAAGGTTGCATACCAACATCTCTTGCACTTGAAGCAAGGAAGTCCAAGTACGTATAAGAAATATAAGACAAGGAATTAGTGTAACCTTTGCACAAGAAACTGCCATGACCATCTTTGCCCCAGCTTTGGCAATGCCACCTGCCTCAGATCTTGAGCCAACCTACAACATGAATGAACTTTGAGTGGTTAACACCATTACAGTCCCATAGTCTTATCATGTTACATGAACTTTCAATTTTTAAGAAAATATTGTTCCACTGAAAAAAGAGGAAAACAAATTGACAAATTACTTGATCACCACAATGACATATAGATGAAGAGAAGACAACTCCTAAGAGAAAAATCTTTTAGCCAAAACTAGATTATGCATCCTAGTCCATTTCATAGTAAAGATAAATTTCATTTAAAATCAAAAGGTATAAATGGGTAAGGATTCTTTTTCATAAAGACCAAAAGAAGGAATACAGCTATAATTTCTCGCAACAGTATATATTCTATACTCCAAGAAACTAAATACGAGCTAACTTTAAATGTCTGGAGAATGCAGCTGCTAAGCCAAACTAGCCACATCTTTTACTGTTAAGCTGCATTATTCAGTTCAGAATGTAGATGTGCTAAGTATTTCCTAACCTCCTATGTGAAACACCAATCTAAATGGGAAATGAATTACCGAACCTACTCATTCCAACAGTTTCAAAAAGGATATGTTCCTCAGACAGAACCCTCTAGAGTTGCTGCTGGGTTTACACTTTACAGTCTCATGTTTACTGTAAGTTTTATTATATCAACCCCCTTGACTTCATAACAGAAAGATACAGAGATTTCTGTCAGGGAGAAAGAAAATGTTTTCCATATTGTACTACTAAGAGTGGGAAAATAATGTGCATCCAAAAATGCAAAACCCATAACTTATAAGACACCATTTAGTCCATCGCAGTTGTTTAATTCTTTTTAAGTTTAGCAGGGTGCTGAAATTCAGTATTTATTTACAAGAATTAATGACTAATAGAAATAATAGAACACTTGTACGAGTTTGACAATATCATGTAATTGTACTTATCTACACTGCTGAGCAATTTCTATCAATTTATCAGATAAAGCATCTACATGGTGAATAAATGAATTCCTTCAAACTGAAAAAGACAATAAAATATGATCCAGCCTAAAGCATAAATAGAAAAAGGGAAGGGCACTACCCCGGGGCATTTTATTGAATTTTAATGTAATCTCTTTAACTAAAATGACATTGAACCTAAAATTTTATCATGTTGGTCATTGTTCATATTTAATTTTACTCAAAATAAATTAAAAAGAAAACCATTTCTTCTACACATCAAATATATCAGAAGAAAAGGATAAAGGTTTAAATGAACGCACCATAAATCCAGTAATATTCTGGAGAAATATCAAAGGAATGTTGCGTTGAGTACATAACTCAATGAAATGGGCCCCTTTCAGTGCAGATTCAATAAATAGTATTCCATTGTTTCCAATAATTCCTACAGGTTGTCCAAAGATCCTTGCAAAACCTGTTACAAGAGTCTGTACAAATGTCTTGAGGATTCCTTTGCCTCAGAATATCACACCAAAAAATGTGCAGATTAAAGTTTCAAATGCTCTCACAGTGCCATACAACTTCTTGAATTCATCAAATTCACTTCCATCAACAATACGAGCAATTACTGATCGGATGTCAAAGTGTTGCTTCTGGTCTGTTGGTGCAATGGAACGGAGCTCTTTTACATCATATAAAGGATCTTTATAATCAGGGGTAATACTTTGCAATCCATTCATTATTCCTTGTTTCCCAGCCATATGCAAGTTCTTAATGATATTCCTCCCAATTGCCAGTCCATGCAACTCATCTACAAAGTAGGTCACATGGTTAAACATTATTATGAAGAAAGTTCAGTGCCCCCCCCCCCTAAAACAAAAAAAATAGAAATTATATCATGTGACATCTGTTTCTTCATATGTATTTCGAATGCTTGAGAATAACTGCATTTTAAATATAATAGCTGCAACACAAAGCCCCACCATTTATTGACATGACTGCTCCCTATATGGGGGTACATCTATAATTGAAATTCTAATACAGGGCCAATCATAATAAACCACATAAATTTCATCTCACATGGGCACTGGCGATTCTGTTAGCAACCTTCATCTTCACAAGGGACTTAAATGACATGGCAGGTACTGATTGGCCTGGTACCATTATTTTGACAAGATGTACAGTATAGGAGTCACCTACTAACCCCCATCCCCCAATTTGTCATGATGCTGTAAAGTGGATTTTTAGGTTATTTATTGCCTTTGGCTTGTCTTTGTTGTTGTAAGCTGGTTGTTGCTAGGATTTTCTCTCAATACCATCTTTTATAATTTTATTCTGTTCCATTTCAATTTTGTTCTCAGAAATCTCTGTTTCTCCCTCCCTACACACACACAAACACACAAGAGGCAAGAGTCATCCAAGCCAAATATCATCAATTTAGGGGGTGTTCTGTAGTGTGGATGAGAAATTGGTGGGTGTAGACTAGTCCACACCACACCCTGTGGCAGGGACCAATCCACACCACACCACAGTCCACAGCTGTTCTGAACTGTGAGTAGATTGTGTGGACCGGACCAGTCCACACCCATGGTGGCGTTCTGTAGGTGTGGTGTGGACCACACTTTTTTATTCCATGTATCTCATACATTTTATGGGAGATCTACACAATCGATCATAAATGTCTAATTTTTGCATTTTATAAGGTAAATAAATTGAAAAAAAAAGGCATCAATAAATTAATATGTAGGCAACAATTGCATTTTTTTAATAATTAAGAAATATTATTTTAAATACTAAAAATTAATATTTTAAATATTATTTTATTGATAAAAATATTTAAGAAATTAATATTTAAATAATGAAAAAAGAGTAGAGAATGAGAACCATCGGACTTGTGCTAGAATTAACATTAAAAATTATTATTTTATCGATAAAATATTAAAAATTTAAAAATTACTAAATGATTAAATAAAATGAAGAGTAATTCGACCAATGTAACAAAGCCACACAGGTGCGTTACGCTGAAACCTTCCCTCAAACTGTCCACACTATAGTGTGGACCATCCACGAGAAAATACTATGGACAATAAATCGGGGTGTGGCCCACACTACCGAATGCCACCTTAGTAACCATTGGAGTGGCTCATTGGATTATGACAATAGATAATTCAGGGACCCATATAGTGGAGTGGACTCAGTGATTAGGGGGCAACACGTAAAAGCAAGTTTGTCATCCAGGAGACACTTTTGGTAATAGGAGTGGATCTCCACCCATTAGGAAGCTATAGACCCAATTTTGACATGTTGATATTTCGGGAAACCAAAGAACTTCAGGAGTGGCAGCTTGTTTATGGGATTTAAGGTTAAGACTCTGATGTTGTATGCACCCTAATTGAAGATGAAGATTCTATTAAATCACACCTTATGGTACATTACATAAGAACCTGAATTTGATTTTCATCTTTGGTTTTTTTTTTTTAACAGTAAAATGTTAGTAACAAGATTTGAACCCAATACCGCTTATTTTTAATTACTTAATTACTTTTCTCCTTTGGTTTTAAGAGAACTGAATTAGGGGATTCCCCATTTGTTACTGGGTAAATAGTTAAAATGACACTAGAGCTCATTATTGATCTAAAAAAATGACACTAGAAGACCTATGGAATATGAAATATTTCATTAGGGAGGAGAGAGCCTTGGCATTCAGAATGAACATCTTATTACAAATGGTTCCCTAGGTAGGTCAGCTCATCAGAAAACAGCCTTGCTAGGGGAGAAATGAACTATTTTTAATAAAAAAAAATGTAAAAAGAAGAGCTTCAAATGATAGATATTTGACAAAGACATGTTCTGAAAATTTTGACATGGATGAAATCAGGGAAAACCCTTACAAAACTTCCATTATTGGGTTGGTCATATACACTTTGCATGTTTTCAACAGGTCTACTTGTGAGTTTCCATAAATGGCCCACGAATCTTCCACACGGTAATTTAGTGGGAAACCACATATTTGTCTTGAAAAACTGTTTATGGGATAGTTTTCAGCCCCAAAGCACTTCCTACATATCAATAGTAACTTAATGAACGCTTCTTTATTTTCTAATTTTATATTAAATTGTAGAAGTGAACAGATAATACCTTTTGGGGAAACTACTAATGCAAAGTGGCTTATAAGGCTTATATGGACCAAAGAACTGAATACCAGGCCAAGGTGGAGATATGCCATGCAATGAACCCTTCACCAATCCTTGTCTAGGAGTTGGGTTTTCCTCTTCTCCCCATTACAGTCGGGATTGCTCTGATCCTCCACTTAGGAAGGATGTTTGTATCCATTATAAAGTTGATTTTTATAATAAATTAAAAAAAAAAACTATGAAGCACCAAACTACAAGGTAAAAAATGGAGAATAAAACAAAGAGAAAATACCTTCAGCAAAATGATCCGAAACTCCTGATATTTTACAATGCATGGTAGCACCCCCCAAATCCTCTGCAGAGACCTCTTCTCCTGTAGCAGCCTACCAAAATTGCTCCTTCAGATAAAACCTATATTTTGAAAAGTACATTTGCATACTTTTCATAGAAATTCCACACACACATACATAAAAGTAGTCATAAAGTAGTAGTTATGACATGCAGCAATTGGAGAAAGAATCTCGGGAACTAACCTTCACAAGTGGAGGTCCAGCAAGAAATATGGTACCATTCCCCTTGACCATAACACTTTCATCAGCCATTGCAGGTATATACGCACCCCCAGCTGTGCAAGAACCCAAGACCAATGCAATCTGAGGAATGCCCTTTGCGGACATTTGTGCTTGATTATAAAATATCCTACCAAAATTATCCCTGTCAGGAAAAACATCTGCCTGCCTTGGCAGGTTAGCACCACCACTGTCAACAAGGTATATGCATGGTAAGTTGCATTGAGCAGCAATCTCTTGTGCTCTAAGGTGTTTCTTAACAGTAATGGGGTAATACGTCCCCCCCTTGGCAGTAGGGTCATTGGCCACAAACATACAAAGTCGTCCATGCACTGGTCCTATACCAATGATTATTCCTCCAGATGGTAAGTATTCTTCATAAAGTTGATGGCCTGCAAGCTTCCATGCAGAAAACATATAATGAGGTGCAGAATTGCTGCCACAAGATGGGTAAAAGAGTACACTTAATGTACATGCTTATATATGTTAAGGATCAAATGAAGGTCCTGATTAGAACCATTAATCCAGATTCAATTCAATTGAGTAGAGAGAGGGGGTATTTGCAGAAAACCAACCAAGACATTGATTAACTAAATGAGATGCTGTTCATCTGTGAAGGTAATAGATGCGAGCAAAATATGATGGATTCTAATCTAATTCAATAAAGTAATAAGAAACAAAATTTTAATCAAAGAAATGAATAATACAACTGGGGAGAATCAAACAATTCCAACCTGCGATAGCTCAAGGAACGAAGAACCAGGGTCAATTAGGCGATCGATCCGTTCTCTGGGAAGAAGCTTATTCCGACTCCTATTCCTTCGCACAGCTTCGGAACCGCCACCACCGAGAACCTAAGAGAAAAAGGCAAAAGAACCTTCAATCGCTGTTCTATTAACTGAAGAAAAAGCGCGCGCGCGCGCGCGGGAGAGAGAGAGAGAGAGAGAGAGTACCTTGTCCATGTGGAATCGAAGCTCAGAGATAAGTTGGTCCATGGCCTTAGAGTTGTTAATATAGACATCGGAGTTGCGATCGACACCATCTGGTAGGACACCCAAACAGAACTCTCTTCTCTGAAGAATCAAATTCGGGATTGTCCACCGAATTGATGAACTGGCTCTCTTTGCCAACACCCTTAACATTTCCTCTCTGCCTTTGTCTCTACCCTCAAGTCCCTACCTTCGATCTTTCCCAGAATGCGTGCATGTATCGTCCTCCCCTTCTCTCTTTATGTTTCGCTGGCTTTGCTGGAATCTCTATCCATTCTGTAATCCATACTGAAGATAAGGACTAGACGTGACATCTCCTCCCCCTATTAAATATTAGGGCACAGAGGACGTCATTGATCGTCAAGATTCAAGAACGTGGGACTTGTCAGAGAAACACTATTATGTTTTTTTTTCGAGTTAAAATCCCTTGGGAGTACAATGATAAGGAGGTTGAATCATTCTGAATCTTTCGATTTTATCATCAATCTCGTTTTCTGATCCATGATGTCTCGTTTAAAAGGGTCCCACGGATTGGTGGTCGTTCATTTGAGATAAGACATGAATGTCGAACCGGAGGATACAGGGCCTATCACGATAAATCACGTCGGCCTGACGTGTAAGACTTACATGTAAAGAGGTTATGTGGCGTATCGTGAACGGCCTACTGTAGAACACTTTTCAACTTTTGAGTTCTTCCGGATTAATGGGGGTCTCGACGATAGCCCATGGACACCTGACTCAGATCATCAGATTAGTTAGGGTTCACCTGAACTTCCGAGTTCCGAGTAAACCTTCTGCGCCGCTGCGCGCGTTCCATTATTTTCTATGCTAGCCAGAAACGGGATGTATAGAAACACAACGGCTATGTGTTTAGTCAGGATTTGAGTTACGTAGCCCATTGTGCACGCCGAGTTTACAATGATCTAGTGCAGTGCGGTGGTCTTGTATGTTGTATTTCTACCAAAAAAGAACAAAAAGATCTGGTGCTCTTGTACTGGTTCCAAGAATGGTTAGAACTTTAGACCACATCTGTGATCACTCCAAATATATCTAAGGTTTGGAGGCTCCATATTAATTGATCAGAAACAGAAATCCCATATGGGAGATTGATTACTCATGGTTGATAAATCTTGAGTGAAGATCATCTACATACATGCATACATACAAATATTATTGGAATTCTCCCAGTGGATTATGCTGCCCCATTAAACAAATTCAAAGGAAATTTTTACATCTTATCTGACATCTTTTAGGGTAGTTACTCTTCGTTCTTGCCGCTACAAAACTGATCAACATATCAACATCACCTAGTGTGTGGCCTTCTTGCCTGCTCTATGCTGTTTACTCATCCTTATTCCATAGTTTTACTCGGAGTTCTACTTGCCTGACCATGTATAGAACAAAATAAATATTACGGAACATGCAAGATGAGTGACTAGGAGTAGATCATGTAGGAGCTCCCACACAAATGGTAACAAAGGTGAGAAGTTCTGACAGAGAGAGAGAGAGAGAGAGAGAGAGATTAAGGGAATGGAGCTTACAAGGTGCTCAAGGCTGGGGAAAGATGAACCGATGAGAGAGCAGATAATTTTTCAGAATGCATGGCAGGTGAAGCAGCCACTCAAGGAACCAATCTGTGCAACCTTACGGAACGACAGACTCTTACTGGAATGCCTAGAAACCTGATGGACCTGGCTGGCTGCTACAGAGCTCCTCATCTCTTGTGCTTTCTTCTGGGCCAATCTCAGCTTGCTCATTATCTTATCCATTGAGGATGATCTCTTCTTCTCCAGTTTCATCTGAACCAAAGTTGGTACACCAAAACATCAGATACATAAAGCAATAACAATTACTCATGCCCCATTCCCACTGGGTGTGGATCATAAGATGTAATATTTACCATACAGGTTTGTTCTATTAAGGGCCCTTTTGGTTCATAATCAGAATCGGAATTGGAATCACAATGGTCTATTCCCATAGTCTGTTTGGTTCAGACAAGAACCGGAATGGGAATTCAATTCAGCTGGAATGGGATTTCATTCCCAAAGGAGGGGGAGGGAGGGAATGGCCATTACCTCAAATGGGGGAATGCCATCCCACCAGGAATGGGAAGGGGATTTCGATTCCACCCAACCGAACAGTTGGAATCGGATTGGCCCATTCCAACTCCAATTCCAGACCCCTATTCCCGTAAACTAAACGGGCCTTAAGATAATGAAGACATTGAAGTGGCAACAACAGGGATTTCTGAGATGACAAAGTTAAACATGGAAGACATAAACCATTTGTCCATGGGGAGGGGGAGGGGGGTCTTGATCAGCCATGCATAGCACCACTGTCTATGTTGGTGTTATGGCCATTCTGTATTGCATTTCTCCTACAAAGTATAACATTTAAAAGATTTCCAAAGTTTCCTGTTTTTCCCCTGAAGCTAATAAGATAGAGATCCCAAAGAATCAATGAAAACCTATTTTGGGAGGAATAAAGCTAATGAAGAAACCTAAATATGAGATACTGATGGAGTGATGGGTCTTGGGATCTATCTTGCAATAGACATGTTTCTTTCATTTCTGGGAAGCCAAAGGTGGTTATGCAATTTTTAAGTGCATAGCATGGTTTATGGCCACTAAGTTTTGTTAGATCTGTTGTATCTCTATATAGTTTCAAAGTCAGTACGAGTCCCTTGGTATTCCCTTTTTCTTTATGGGGGAGGGGGAATTAAAATTCTTCTAACAAGTTGCCCTCCCAGATGCATATTACGAATATAAACTAATGGTTCATTTGACCTCTTCCCTGTCTAATTAGCTACTTAAACGGACTCTTGTCATTACTTGGTTAACCGGCCCCCTGCCCTAGGAGTGATTCCTAGAAACTGAGAAACATAGATTGATTTTTGAGCTATTCTTCATTTTTCTCTGTTTCTGTTTGCTACTTTGTAGATTGATGTGATCAATGTACCCTTTGGTGATTGAAGAATAATCAAATACCACAATTTGAACCAATAATCACCATCATATAAGTGTAACCTTTTATTCTTATTTTCCCTACGTCCAATCAATTTTCCCAACCTTCAAAACTTCACAGAAAATCATCTCCTAAAATTTCTCCAAACCCGCAATATTTTTTGTGCTCGGAGTCTGCATTTCTTGGTTCATTTTATTGCGTTCCAACTCTAGAAGTTTCATCTCTGCACAGTTCCCAACCTAAGTTGTAACCCTTAAAACCTAAATTCCAAACCAGCACCTTTAATCCCAATCTTGTCATCATAAAGGCACTTCCCATTATCTTCAATAATCAACTTATTCCCTTTCCATTAAGAATGAATTATTATGGTCTTGATTGACCATCTCATCCCTCTTTAATCTTTATGGCTCGGGGGGGGGGTCAAACATAAAATCTTCCTCTTCACTAGGTCACCAGTTCAGCTGTCCAGTCCGGTCTGAGTCTGACAACACTGATTTGGAGTAGTTATAGACAACGTAGGTACAGGCTTAAATTCTGTCATCAGGCATGGAGAAAATCATAACTTGCCTGAAAATCATTAGAACTCTTGTTGCCTTTTAATGAAGAAAAAATAACAAAAAGTATGGAAGAGAACCTCTAGTTTCCTGATTGCTGCCTCAGCTTTTGCTTTCTGCAAGTTCTCCCATGCAGTGATCTTGGCTTCCTCCCTTTTAAATCTGCATGGAAACCAATGCAATTATCTTTTTCCATTAAATTCATTCAAAAATAGAGGAAATAAGTTATTCTAAAAGACAAAAGAAATTATACTTTGATAGGCATTTTGCCGTCTCTGCAACTTCCCAAGCTGAAGGCCGCTTTTCTACAGCTTTCTTTTTCCAGTCCTCAACATTTGTTGAACCCTTCTCAGGCACCCGGGTGCCATGTTTCTTAGACCACCTTGTCACAGTCACTCGTTCATCTACCTGTACATCTCTGATTTCGGATTTAAAGGAATGGCGGCCCTGCAGCTCAACAATGGGAAGGAATGATGGAGGTGAAGAAGAGAAAGAGGGCCTCCCTTTTGGTGATGACTGGGTGCTACCATCAGGGCTCATCTGGGTTGCCACATCTCTTCTTGAAACAGCATGAGAGATCATGGTTTCTGCATCCTTGGTACCATCAAGCTTTTCATCTGCAAACCAAATCCAATGGGCCCAATTATTGTTACTTGTTAGAGCTGAAGTAGTTAAAAAATGAGCTTTTTATTAAAACTACAAAACTGATCTTTAGAATGACATAATACTTAAATATAATGTTTTGTAAATTAATTGATGTTTATCTGAACATCCATTTACAAACAAGATAAAGAGAAACACCAAGGCAAAAAGGATAGAGATTGTGTTGGAGAGCAAATAAATCTAATGTTGCCTCAAGGGAATTAACATAACTTAAATCAAACTTGTATTGGTCAAAGACTTAACCGACAAACTTTACCAATAGTTATCCTACTCAAGTCAATTTGGGTCACCCATGTCTTTCTCAAAAAATAATCAGCTAAGCCTTACATCTGTGTTTGCACCATCATGAAATTAATATGCATTGTCTTTACTAGGCCCTTTTTTACTTGATGGGTAACAGATAATTTACTAGTCATTTTGTCCAACAGGTTTGAATAGTTATTCTACAAGAGAGCATATTTTATTTACTTGATAATTTCCTTAGGGGGAAAATATGTTAAAAAATGCCACATCTTCTAGCCTAATAAACATAGAAAACAGCTATCTGAAAAATTAATAGATCAATATGATTTTTTATCAGACAGTACCAACTGGCTCAGTTGTTAAGGTCTCTGGCACCCTGGGTCAGGGGTGTTAATCGCAGACAAGGCTACCCCCATTCTGTAGCCCCAAATGAGTAATATAGGATCCTACACATCCCACATTTCACCTGCACTAGGCAAGCTACTCCAAATCTATAACCTGGACTCTAGCTACCTGATGTATTGGCAATTTTTCCCACTTATAGGTTGTCTACCAAATACAAGCAGTAATGGATTTTCTTTTGATAGTAATAGATTATTTCCATTTCTGGGTAACTAACAATTACAATTTTTCTACCATACGATAGTATATAAAAACCAAAAAAAAAAAACATAATATTTCAAAGTTCTGATTGGTTAGCGTCATTCTGCAAATAACAAGGGCATTTTTACATTTATAAAATATCATTAGTAATGAAAATTCAATATTTTAAATTTAAATATTAATTACTACATTATCTATTATGTCAAAAATGGATCACAACAATATTTATGATACTTTGGTTAATAAAAATGCTAGATAAAGATAAAAATTGTATACTGTTTTCTTATCTGTAAAAAACAGCATATTGTTTCCACCCTAAAAAAGGAATATTTTCAAACTAAGTGCAATACTGCGTTTTATTAGTTAAGATGAATTTACCAAGCAATACCCCAGGTTCAGCTCACTAATATCATGGGAAGTTGGTTTGACGAGTTTAGCCAAGGCATTCTAGCCTATAAAGGCAAGTGTCATTTATGTGATGATAAGAACCTAGATAATTAGAATTGAAATAATTCAATCACATTCCAGAGAACAAAGAAATAAAACCACTAAATTATTTCATGCACACATGAAAAAATGAAGCACCAAAGTTTTTTCCACTAACAAAATAAGTTTTGGTTATCCTCCCATCCCCCTCTCTTGTCACCTCCAGCCCTGAATTGAATTGTTGATGAACAAGCGGCCTGCAGTGCAACATTACAGGCAGAACAGGGCTAATGGGGAGTTCTCAGCTTTTCTGAAAGAAAAACAGGGGTGTTTTCACTATTTGTTTTAGCACATAATACATTCTCAATTGTACTCAAATCAGGAAAACAAAGATAAACCAAATTCAGTGATTAAAAAGTCACTCCACCAAGGGCTAACCTTTTTAATTGAGAATAGTGAAATCTCACAGGGGTTAAATCCATGGAAATAGGCACAAATAGCCAAACCATATGAAAAATTGTGTCTTCTCTGTTATTTTCTTTTATTAACTTATGGAGCAACAATTTAATTATGTTAATTAAAGTTTTAATATATTTAAGTAATACTAAACTTAATATCACATATTTTGTTTTTCAGTTAAAGAAGCTTTCTATGATATATTTAAGACTAGTACTGATGTTTAGATAATAACTGCCAAACTGCAAGATGCTAATGCAATTGTGAAGCATCCTCGCTAGGATAGGTGATGCTCTAGCTACATTGCTTTTGGCAGTTCCTAAGTCACCGTTTTTACATATCAAAAAGAAAGACACCTTTCTTTACCTTTTTTTGGAATCTATGCGTGTTAACATAACATTCTTTCTTAGTTTCTTTCTTTCTTTCTTTCTTTCTTTTTTTTTTGTTATTTTAATTGACAACATTAACATCCTCGTGGTAAATAGTAACTTATCATGCACCTTGTCTCACTCCAAATCCTCAATCAGAAAGGTTGATGTTAGAACAGATTTGTGGATTACACAACTCTTAACCTTTTCCTACACGAAATACAAATACGATGTTCCTAGGCAATTCAATATGCAGTCGTTTCAGGCAATGGCCACCCAAGAAGTGGTCCAGAAATGGGACAATCTGGTTTGGTTCATTTGAAAGTATATATTATATAAGCAAAAAAAGGGCAATCTGGAAATATGTTTTCAAAAAAGAAAAGGAAGAAATCTGCAAATAATTCCCATGTTCAAAGTAGTTGAGGAGGACGTCTCCCTCCCCCACAAATTATACATGGATGTTGTTAAGATGTTCCAAGGAACTTGCAGAAGGGCGACACCCTTGGATTCTGAAACCAGAGGCAGCAAGCCAATTTCAAAAAGAAAATAAAAGGAATGCATGAAAAAGCTTGATACCGATAAGGAGTGAGCAAAAGCCGATTTCAAATTTAGGTTTGGAAAGGCATGACATCTTTATTTCGGAAAGAAAAGTGTAGCTAATACTTGTAGCGAATCTCGGGATGGAATCCTGCCTTCACCTGGGTTTGAGGTGTGTGCCTGAACCTTTGCTATGTTTAAGTCCAATTTTGCCATTTTGGCCCAAAGAATTAGTGCAAGCAATTTGAAGTTTTGAACCTTCCCTTCCATCTCCAAAAACAAATCGAAATTCTAAACCCAAACTAGGGAGGAATGAATAAAAAGCCAACTATCATTTCCTGTTTAGCCCCTCGTCAGCTTTTTAGTTTTTACTTTCACTGCTTTATGGAAGGAGGAAGGAAGAAAGAAAGGACCATCAGTCGATCGAAAGAACCGCCACGCAACCCATGTTATCGCTTAAAGATTAGATTCTTTCAAACATGGGCAGCGTGGCTTCCTCCTAACTCCTCCCTCCAACGAAGTAGCGAAAGTTTTCCAACCCCGAAGGCCCAGACTAGCATGCCTGCTCTAAAAGATCATCGAAGATCCAAAGACTACGAAATCATCACCTTGTAAGCCGGGCAACGAGGGTTGGCCCAAAAGATCCGACCACCCGTGAACGCTAGCGGAACGCGCAATACAAGGCTCGGCCTGAGCAGGAAGAGATCCTCTACTGGCACCGCCATCACGGACACCACTACAACGCCCAGACGTGCCATCAGCAATTAGAACTCCAGCTGAGAACGGAGAACCCGCCATGAAACTCCCGACGCTCCCGCCATCAAATATCGGGATTGCAGGCGAATACGCCGAATACAAAGCCATTCCCGGTGGGCCAAGCGGGCCACTTTTCGACTTCGGCCGCCTTTGAGGAAGTGCCAGTGACGACCTGCTACCACCATCTCCTGAAACTGGACTGAAAATCCACTTCTCTGCGTCTTCCCATTTAGAAGGCAATGTCCTTCCATTGCTTAAAGGCAACAGAGCAGCACTGACGTATCTCCGGCTTCCATTCATGTGCAAAGGCACTCGTTCTGAGCTCCAACCCTTCTGAACCCCTATGTTACCAGGCCTGTAATTTGGCGTCCCCGGGCTAGGGAATGTACCCGATCTACGAGAAGAACCGGAATTCTTCCTCATACCTCCTAGTCGCGGCGAAGAGCCGGTAGCATCGCTTCCTTGACCGTTCAGATCTAAGGAAGTGGGCCTTTGCTTCCCTTGTATCTTTGCGGCTGTAAGAAGATCAGATTTGAGTCGCCGGATCTGACATTCTGAGAAAAAAAATTTGGTTTTAGAGTTCAGAGCCTATAGGAAAAAGTCAGAACCAAGGTTTGATACCTCTAAGAGCAATAGAGAACGAATCTTTTGCTGGATCAAGAGTTTGAGTATCGTCCTCTGTCTCTATTTCTTCTTGTTGTTCTTCCTCTTCTTCTTCTCGGTCTATATATGATTGAAGACCACAGTTAGTGACTGAAATTTCAAATAGTTCGTAGTCAATCTACTTTGCCCCTTCTTTTCACCTATCCTACTAGTCTATCGGTACCTTTTGCCTTTTCTCCTTTTTTGACAGTGTGACTGCTCCTCTGTACCGCAAATGGCCTCTTCGGATCTAGATCTGGGCCGCGCGAACACTCGTGGAGATCACGTCCCGCCAAATGCTGGACCAAATCAAATATTTCAATGGCGAAAAATCGACTAAATTCAAATTTTAAGTCGCAGAATCAAAGCTCAAAATCATTACTTCCAGTTTGAGTGCGGAAAATCCCATCTGATCAGCTGTGAAACACATAAATCATTTTTTATCGTTTTCCATTCAAATTTCGAAATGTATCACACACATCAAGCGAAAACAAAAGAACAACGTATAAGACAAAAGGCGATAAAAAGATGAAAAGGCGAAGAGGACTGTTGCTTTGTCGTTCAAATGATTGTATACTTCTAGTCATTCGATGAGTAGTAGTCACACGGTTGGTTCGAGACGAGTAAAAAAAATTGCCTAGTGCATATCAATTTAGCGCAAATCGTTCAAAAATGAAAAATCAAAAGCAGTTACTGTCTACTGATGAGCTTACTAAAATCTTTGCTCAGACCAACCGAGAAGTACATTACGTGCAGAGAGAGTCTACATGCAGTCTCGGAGGAGTTGTTGCATTACCTTGGAGAATTCAGAAACGATGGATTCGCGATCGTGAACGTCGGATGCAAACGAGCAACGACCGACACTTCCAGAAGCAGAAGAGAAGAGGCTGAAGTTGGATTCTTGCGTGAAGATTACAGAATCGGGACTGTCATCTCGATCTCGGCAACCCAATTTCGCAGGTTTCGTCTCTTGAAACCCTAGCCCCAGCATTCTCGTTTCAACATGAGAATGTGAGAGGTAGAGATTGAGATTCCTTTTAACCTGAAAAATAGCTTCAATGGCGGGTGCTTTGGACAAAAATTAATATCCTCTGTCTTCACTGATCTGTTCTACGCATGCCCGAAATTAATTTTATTTATTAACACAAGTAGCAACTAGCAAGTTAACGCAAAACCTCGTTTCTTTATTGGGTGGCGATTTTATAATGGCCCTCATATGATGAGAAAATTTTGACCGTTGGATTGGTGTCAGATTGGACTTCTCCCAAAAAAGAGTTGACTATGCAGTACTAGATTCCAATCTGACGGCACGAAACTTCGACTCATATTAGGGTTCCGATATTCAATTAGAATCTATCTTTATTTGTGCTTCGCGTTTGACTGACCCATAGATTCATATAGCATATGCTTTTTTGAGTCTCCAAGAGGAAGGGCAGTTTCGTCCGTTTGAGTTCTTTCTTACAGAACGCATTGATGATTCAACAACCTGTCTCTCTTTAAGCCGAATTCAATTTCAAACAAGTTGACTGTACCTTGAATGAAGAGGAAATGACCATAGAGGCCCAACGTGGTTGTTAGATAACGATTAGCGGATTAGGTGATCATCCACTGCAATATTCCAACCTCAAAGAATCACATTCTTGTAATCTTGTCCCTAATGGAGATGAGAATTCTCATTTCATTTGTGATGAAGAAGTGGGACTGGTTGAGTGGTATCGCAGGATTATAATACTCGATGGTAGGGGATTACGTCCAGCCACTTTGTTTGCATGCACATTACCAATACTTGCGCCAGAGATTCGGACAGACTGGCCCACATCTGAGAGACCGATCCACTTGGAATTGGAGTCTTTGCCTCTTTGGACTCGTGAAAACCAAACAAAGTTTCTCTCTTATCGAGGACAATTCGGACGCCGGATTAGGAAAAGTTGATCATAGTGTTCGAGGAACTCCGATGCTTTAGCGAACTGATAACTGTGTGCAAGAAAGTAAGAAAGTTATAACACTTTGAGAACTAAATCGTGCATGTATATTTTTTGTGTGAATGGGGATATCTTTATAATAGAATATTCTTCGTGAGACCTACGAAGTGTATTCGATATATTCGCCCAGCCTGGTTTGGAGGTGATTTTATGCTCAAATATGGACTTCGCATAAGTGGGTAATGTCTATCTACTCGTGTCTGAAGTGAGCGAGGTGATAATTGGCTCTTTCGACGTGGCATTATAATCCCAGGGAAGTCAGAGATGATAACCCGCTTGTGGAGGAGGCCGCCTGGCACGTCAAGCAGGTCGCTAGCTGAACTTGGGTCAGGTCGTTAGAAGCAAGTCACCTCTCATGCCAACCTGATGTCTTGCCAGGCCTGTTCACAATTCGGTCTGTCGAGGTCGTCATAGTGAATGTGAGGTGTCCGAGGCACTTTCAAGGCTTACTTGCATGGTGTTGAAATGTCATCTGACTGTTTTGATGTGCCACGTGTCATCATGTCACTGGAGGGACAAATTGCCCTTCATCAATTGCCCCCCACTCCTGAGTCAATGTCGGTTTGACGAAATGAGTAGATTGTAGTCAGTCTTCGGCTCGCAATGATTCGTTCGGTTGGTTCGTAGATCGCATGGCTTGTTCGCCCAACTTAGCTCGAGGCTAGGCTAACATGCAGCAAAATTCAAATTTCAAATTCCAAATCGGGCGTGCACATTTTAAAATTCAAATTCGCCTGCAAGTGGTGTGACCTTCTCAACCATCGATTTGACGTCGCATTGCCTCATCCGTCAATTTTCAGTGCCCAAGGCTATAAATAGGGGGTCCCTACTGGGGTCCCATTCGCGTTGTTTTGAAATTTCTGGCAAGAGAGTGGGGGAATCGATTGAAGGAGAATTTTGTTGGGAGATCGTTGTCAACTCAACAAGAGATATTTGGTTGGGCGAGGTCGATTTCTATTTTCAAAAAGCTAGTGAGTCTTTTTTTCCCCCTTTTAGTCATGTTCTCAAGTGAGTCAGAAGGGGGGTCCTCTTATTCCGTTCAGGCCAAGGAAGGGACCTCAGCATGAGATCGGCGAGGTTCCCACACTAGGGCCTCAACTTCTCAATAGGAGCCGGAGACCAGCTCCCAGTTCAGTCCCAGCAAGCTAAGCGGGGAAGAAACCGTTGGTTTTGTATCCACATTTCATATCCAAAATGAGTTCAACTATATTCAACCTGGCCCGAGCCAGTTCCCGTGGAGCCACGGTCGATCCAAAGTCTGTGTCTTCAAGGAGGCATTGATCGCCCGCTTTCGATTTCCTTTGCACCCATTTATTGTTGAGGTGCTCTCCCTCTACAGTATTTCTTTGTGGAAGCTCCATCCGAATGCCATTCGGACCCTCATGGGGACAATTTCTCTTAGCTATCATCTTGATTTTCCTCTACACATAGATGTCATCTCAAGGCTATGCACTATAAAGAAGGTTCCCAATGTGCCCTACAATTTTTACTTGTCTTTCCACTAAGGTTATAAGCTTCTGGGGGTTTTCCCACAAAGATTAGGGACTATAAGGGTAGGTATTCTTCCTTTCTTGGGAGGTCGGCTAGCCTATGGATACCGTCTAGAGACGTAGTGCAAGAAGGATCTTTAAGGTCGAGTTCGATGAAGAGTTGAGTGTTGAAGTCCAACACCTTGTACGTCAACGGTTACTAATAGATTAGTTCAAAGCCGAGCCTATGCACGTTCAAGCTAGCCTAAGTCCCGTAGGTAGGTTGGTCAAATTGCCCTTTGTTTTATATTGGAAGTTACCCTTTAGCTCAGCTAACTCTTCTTTTATGTGTCTTCTTAGGGGTGAAAAGTACTGCTTCTTTCCTAGTAGTGTCCAAGAGGCCATCAAAGAAGAACAGGAGGGTGGCTGAATCTTTAGTTCGCTCGTCAATGGAGGGTTCGTCAACCAGTGACGAGGAGAGGCCTGTCRCGCGCATGTTTGTGGTTGTCGACCTTGAAGGCGGCAATGACCCCATGTTCGTACTCCATAGAGCCTAAAATTGGTGTCTCTTAACTTTGTAGGGGTCTTCCTAGTTCTGACCTACCTTTCCTATGCCAGGCTCTAATACCATAACCTTCCTTAGTACCAGGTCACCAACTCGAAATTGGTGTCTCTTAACTTAAGCATTATAATACCGAGTTACTCATTGTTGGTATGTCGTAGTCTGAATATAGGCTTAGTCATGGACTTCTTGCACCCGGTCGAGGTTAGTCTGAAGCTCATCCTCGTTAGCCTCCTCATCATACGTCTCAAACCGCAAGGCTAGCACCTCGATCTCAGTTGGGATGACAACCTCTGTCCTGTACATTAGGTTGAAAAGAGTCTCCCAATCGTTGTCTTGATAGTAGTTCAGTAAGCCCAAAGGACATTGGGCAGCTCATCCACCCACAAACCCTTAGATCGAGAAAGCTGAGCTTTGAGTCCGTAGAGTATCACCCTATTAGTCACTTCAGCCTGGTTGTTTTCTTGGAGATGGACCACCGAGGTGAAGTTCTATTSGGTTCCCATCTTAGCACACCAGTTCTGAAACTTGATGTCTTCGAATTATTTCCCGTTGTCCGAAATTAGTACATGGGGAGTCCGAATCTGCAGATGATGCTCTTCTAGAAAAAAGTTCAGCACATTCTGAGCTGTGATGGATACCAGCACCTCGACTTCCACCCACTTTGTAAAGTAATCGACCACGACAACCAAGAACCTCCTCTGCCCAATTGCAAGTGGAAAGGGACCAAGGATATCCCCCATTATTCAAATGGCTATGGGCAAGTAAGGTACCTTAGGTTGGCTACGGACTGGTGTAGTATGTTGGCATGCTGCTGGCACTTGTTGCACTTCCAAATTAATTCCAATGCATCCACCTTCATTGTGGGCTACTAATAGCCTTGTCGTACCATCTTCTGGGCGATTGCCCTACCCCCTAGGTGTTTTCCATAGAAACCCTTGTACATCTCACGTAGCACCTACTTTGCCTTAATTGGGTGGAAGCAGCATAGGTAGGGGAACGTGAATAACCTGTGATATAGTTGCTCGCCTATGATTACATAGTGAGCTTACTAATGGTCTACCCTCTGAGTTGCATTACGCTCTACGAGTAGAGCCCCGTGGCGCAGATAGTCAATGAGTGGATCCATTCAGTTTGATCTCTACAGCCAAAACATGAGAGGTCTCTTCTGTCACCCCTTCTATGCTAGGCCATGGTAGGTCTTCAATGTATATTGTTCTCTTCATGATTTTCGTCGCACCGGCCAGCTTTGAGAGTGCATCGACTTTGGTGTTCTCAAACCTCAACACTTGTTGGATGTACCAAAAGTGGAAGTTGGGCAAAAGCTCTCTAACCTTGGCCAGGTAGGTCAACATGGTAGGCTCTCGGGTCTCATATATGTCCATTCACTCGGTTCACCATTAGCTATGAGCCATTTCACACCAACTTTCCTACTAGTTGGACGAACCGTCCACATGGAGGTTCCAAGGCTCCTCATCCCAAGTCAGGCCAAGTGTTGCATTGGTTGGTGCCCCCGAGGTAGTCACGAACTTAACAACATCAAGGGTTGGTGTGCTGAACGTGCACTCGGCGATGAAGTCAGGCAAAACTTGTACCTTGATCGCTAGGTGTGGCTCAAACTGAATGTCGTACTTATTGAGATCAATTGCCCATTTTGTCAGCCTTCCCGAGACCTTAGGCTTCTAAAAGACTTGCCTCAGGGGTTGATCAATTAAGACCACGACGGTATGGGCCTAAAAGTAAGGACGCAACTTACGGACTTCTATCACCAGCGAGAAGGCCGGTATCTCGATATTTGGGTACCTGGTCTCTGTGACTTGCAAGACTTTACTCACGTAATAGACAGGTCATTGCACTCTGTCCACCTCATAGATTAGGACCGAACTGACTACCACGTCACTCATAAAGAGGTAGAGTTTGAGCTCATCCCAGGTTCCGACCCGTTTAACAAAGGTGGAAAACTAGGGTACCTCTTAAGCTTGTCAAATAAAGTCGGCACTCTTTAGTTCACTCGAAGTCTTGGTTTTTTTTATGGCTTTGAAGAATGGAAGACATCGCCCAACCGACTTAGGCATTAGTCTTTGAACCTCCTTAATCGACCTAGGGAATCCCATATCTAGGACGGCCTAGATTTTATTCGGGTTTGCTTCGATGCCACGCCGATTCATTATGTGCCCGAGGAAATTGCCCAATGTGACCCTGAAGACGCACTTGTTTGAGTTAAGTTTCATGTTGTACTTTCTTAGAACGTTAAAAATACAATTAATAACGGAAATTAAAGAGTTTGAAAAGTGGGTTTTCACAACCATATCATCAACATAAACTTCAATTTTATTGCCAATTAACTCAAAAAATATTTTATTTACACGACGCTGGTAGGTTGGCCCATCGTTTTCAAGCCAAAGGACATCACTTTATAACAATAAAGGCCTTAGTTATAAATGTCTTGTTCTCTTGGTCAACTGGATCCATATGGATTTGATTGTAACCGGAATAGGGTCCATGAAGCTTAACAGCTCGAACCCGATGTCGCATCAACCAAAAAGTCAATCCTAAGGAGTAGAAATTTGTCCTTTTTGCAAGCTTAGTTAAGGTTGGTGTAGTCAATGCACATGTGCCACTTGCCATTGGCTTTCTTCATGAGCATTGGGTTGGCAATCCAACTCGGATATTGGACCTCTTTAACAAAGTCTGTTGCGAAGAGTTTCCCTACTTCATTGTCTACTATCCACCACCTCTCCTAGGCGAGGTTCCTCTTCCTCTACCGAACTGGTCTGACTAAAGGGTCAACATTTAGTCTATGAGTTATGACAGAGGGATCTATGTCGAGCATTTCTACTATCAACCAAGCAAAAACATCTACATTTTTAATTAAAAAACTTACTAGGTCAGAGTGCAGTGGTTCTGTGAGGTGAGCTCTGGTCTGCACTGTCTTCTCGAGGTTGGTATCTAAGACCGGCACTAGGATGGTGTCCTCCATGGGGCAAGTTATCTCATCTTCGTTCTCTAGTGGCGACTCTAAGTTGATGTCGACCTGCTTCCCTTTCCCCTTCAGTGCGGCCACATAGCACTTACAAGATTCAAGCTAATCACCTCGCACCAGTCCTACTCCATAATTAGTCGGTAACTTCATCGACGGATAGTAGGTCGACACTACTGCTCGGAGGGAGTGCAAGATAGGTCATCCTAGAATGGCGTTATAGGGTGAAGGAGTCGCGACCACCAAGATGTCGTGATCGAAGCGCATTGAGCTCAGTGTCAAACCTACTAGCACTAGCACTCTCACCCAGCCTAGGGGCCAAACTACTTCACTAAAGCCAACATGGAAGACATCGACCAATTGCAAGTCCTTCCTCTCTAGCTCCATCCACTCGAACGCCTCCAAGAAGATGATGTTGGTCGAGCTTCCGGAGTCGACAAGAATCCGCTTTACCTCGAAGTCATTTATGACTAACTTGACTACGAGGGTGTCATCATGCGGCTACTGGATCACACGAACGTCTTCCTCGATGAAGTAAATCACTTCCTCCACACGAGGGCGCTTCAACATTTTCTTGCCCTCATGCTTGAGCTCCCGAATTGAATTCTTTTCCATCGAGGTGATGCATCCTGCCACTATGGACCCTCCTGTGATTAGGTTAATGGTGTCATGGAGGGGCTGCTCAGCTGGTGGTGGGTGTCAAGGAGGTTGATCCCTGTTCTGTTCCCTACTTGATTGTGGCACTTTCCTAGGTAGGTCGACAGGTCAACTTCAGCCCTCCTGCTTGATGAACTACTTCAAGTACCTTCGGCAGATCAACTCCTCAATCTCATCCTTGAGGTTACGATAGTCCTTAGTGTCATGGTCAATGTCCTGGTAAAAGTGGCAGTATTTGTTCGGGTTCCTGTTGGCGAGGTCTCCTCCCATCCGAGGTGGCCACATGACGTACTCAGTTGTCTTAATCTGCATCACAATTTCCCCCCTTTTCACGTTCAACACGGTGTAGTTACAGTTTTGGACGAGGGAATGCGAGAGTGCTGACACGAGGATTTACTGCTTCTGTACAGAGACATGCTTCTTCTCCGAGATGACTTGCTACGACGGTTGCAGGGGACCTACTGCGCCTTGGTGACTTGCTCTTCCGACGATGTTTACTTTTCCGACTCGTCTTCTAACCTCTTCCGCTTGCCGCTTAGCTCCAACTGAAATCTGAGCGTTTCTTCGACCTTCATAAACTTGTCCGCTTGGTTGAGGAAATCCTCCATGGAAGCCGAAGGGTTTAGCTCAACCTTGCAGCGCAAGTCGGGATGCCAAACGTTGTTGACCGTTGCGATGAACTGGACGACTGGGTCAAGGTTGGAAATCTGAAGTCACTCTAGGTCGAATCATTTGATGTAGTCTCAAAGCTTCTCATCAGGTCGCTTGAAGACATTCAGCAACTAAGTTGCTGACTTCGAGCATCGCTTTCTCGTCACGAAGTGCATAGTAAACAGGTCGGTGAACTGGTTTCAACTCCTTATAGATCCTGTAGCCAGCATCAAATACCACATCCAAGTTGTGCCCTAAAAGGTGGTTGGGAAGGTTATGCAAAGGCTCACGTCATTTTCCCCGTATAGATGCATTAGGGCCAAGAAGTTGTCAAGGTGGTCAACCAAGTCGGTCGTTCCATCATAGGATTCCAGGCTAGGGGCCTTGAAATCTTTCGGTCGTGTGACCATGAGGATCTCAATGGCCAGTGGTAAAGTTCGAGACACTAGCTGTGCTGACAAGGTGTCGATCTGTCTCACCTTCTTTTCTTCTTGTTTCATGTCCACCATCTCGTTGTCATTCGAAGTGAGACAACTCCTCCCTGTGGCGCAGTGTGTGCGTCTATGATGCCTTCTTCGTGATCCATCAGTCAAGCTAGTGGCCTCGATCTCGATTGGTGGTGTGGCCCAACTCAGTTCCTTGATCGGGACCTGGTTCTGGTTGCTAGAGCGACGAGGCAAGTCAGGCATCGGGTTCTGATTCTGGTTGTCAGGCTACTAGTTTTGGTCCTGGTCTATGTTCTACTCAATGATCTAATGTCGTTGTTGTCGTTGTTGTTGTTGTTGTTGTTGTTGTTGTTGTTGTTGTTGTTGTTGTTGTCGTATCCCTGCTAGGGCGGCAAAGTGTCCTTCCCAAATTCCCAAGTTCCCATGTTCTCATCTACAGGTTTACCTCGGGGATGTATTGCATCAATTTGTTGAACTAGCGTGCACCGATCCCGACAAGAACTACTGAGAGCTCGACTTGAAGGAGAGGCACATTCATTGGGCAAAGGAAAGTTCCCATGTTCTCATCTACAGGCTTACCTCGCGGACGTATTACATCAACTCGTTGAACTAGTGTGCACCAATCCCAACAGGAATTGCTGAGGGCTCRACTGGAGGGAGAGGCGCATTCATTGGGCAAAGGAAAGTTAGGGCTCTACATGGTGAGGACGTTTAGTAATGTTAGGGGCGATAAACTGCCCAATAGTCATAGAGGGGATTTTAGGGTGCATAGGGGTTGGTCCTGCCTCCTAGTGATCGAGTTGTTGTTGACAGGAGTGTTGTTGGACGATGCCATTAAAGATATTCTTGAAAAAGAGGTGTGAGAGTACGACTATTTGTGTAGTGTTTCCCATAAACAGTGTCAATTGATGGTGTGTGATCTAGTAGCTCCCTACTGGAGGACAGCTCGGATGCCGGATTAGGTAGGTTGCCTTGCTAAGCTGCAAGAAAAGTTTATCAGAGTTTTCAAGTTGATAGACCCGAGGTGGGAACTCTGATGCTTAAGTCAGCGAACTGATAATTGTCTACAAGAAAGCAAGAAAGTTGGAACACTTTGAGAGCTAAATCACACACGTACCTTTCCTTTGAATGGGGATGTCTTTATATAGACTAGTTGCCGTGAGGGCCACAAAGCACGTCTGAGATCTCTGGCCCATCTGATTCGGAGGTGGTTTCACACCCAAAAATGAACTTTGCGTAAACAGGTAATGTCTATCCAATCACGTATGATGCGGGTGAGGTAATAAATGGTTCTTCCGACGTGGGGTCATGATCTCGGGGAAACCGAAGATAATAACCCACTTGTGGAGGAGGTCGCCCAACATGCCAAGTAGGCCGCTAGCTGAACTTGAATCAAATCGGCGGAAGCAAATCGCCTTTTATGTCAACCTGACATCTTATCGGGCCTGTTGCAGTTCAATCTGCTGAAGTGGTGCCGAGGATGTAAGGGTGGGTGTGAGGTGTCTCATGTGCTTTCGAGACTTAGTTACATGGTATTGAAATATAGTCGAGTTACCATGTATCGTCATGTCAAGAAAGAAAGATTAATAATGAATAGATTCCATACTGATTCGTGTGGGTGAAGCCTCAAGCAAAAAATTATAGGGGTTATAAAATTCTGATATGGGCTGATAGGTCATTCTCCCAATAAAAAATTATAAGGGGCGAAGACCGACCGGTAGTCGGTAGGTGTCCAGATAGAATCCAATCAGACATGAATGCCACGGTGGATGGAGCTCATTTCCCCAGGAGTTACTGTTTTTTTCCTCTCTCGCCAATCGTACTGGGGTTCGCAGGATGAGATTCCATTGCCCTTTTTACTTTCACGGTGACAAAGATTACTAGGTTGTATCTGCGAATCAAAAGATTCCGTTCTGATGGATACAAAAAGTTAGCCCCGACATCATTAAGACGAAATTGACTATAAATTAAAAAACCTACAAGCAAAGCCAATAATATCAAGAACAGGACACGAACTCCACCTGTGACAATTAACGCCACACATTTTAGAACGAGGTGAGTAGTAACGACTAACGAGAGCAAATCTGCCCCCCACAACGTCTCACAACACATCCCGAACATCTCCCGATGATGAACGTTCCATTTCTGATATCACCATCAGGAAATGTTTCCAATACACGGCTTAAATGTGCGAACGTTGTGGGGCGCAGATTTGAACTCAGTAGTAACTCGTAACCACGCAGGTGGATTCACCTTTCTTTCTTTATATTCCTTTTTTGGATAGGCAACTGGCAATGGAACCAACTTTAGAACAAGTGTTTCAGTGCCCCCGCGCCTTCTTTTCTTTCCTTTTGTTAGGGCAACTGTGAGTACTTTTTTTTATCCTCAAAAGTAGCCAAAGTTTGTTGCCAAGTGCACGCTTTCTTCTCTCCGTTCTCCTCTGCAGCTCTGCCATTTTCATTTTGACTTCTGAATACGTGGCAGTGTAGTGCTTTGCCATYCCACTATCTTCTGTCTTACCTGCAGATGCCAGAACCTCGTGAAGCATTTCTACTGACCTGACCTGACCTCACAACTGTCCAGCGAAAAAAACGGATTGGATGCCCAGGGAGTCTCCTTCAATACAGATGTAGATGATCTGTCACTTATTTGAGCTAGGGAAGGACCTTCTTATATTTTGTTTCTTTTGCTGATGGATACATGTGGATAGATAAATACACGACGCTATATCGTATTTGAAAAGAAAAAGAAATTTCTCAGATTTCTCGGCACCCACATGCATGTCCTACTCGATTGCGTTTTAGAAAAGGAAAGCAAGATTGTTTAACCACCCAACAATGTGCGAGACTTGTCATGTTTTATTATATTTGGAGACGAAATGTCAACTCAATCTGACAATCGGAATTTCTATTGCAGCACCGACTGACTGTGTTCTGTTTTGCGCTCTCATCTTGTTCTTACTATTTGAGCGACTGTGAAAGAGGGATGTGTGCTCTGTCGTTATTGCAGCAATATCGCACTCAGCCAAACCCAAACCCCACTCGTGATCGTCGGTAGGAGGAATCTAGGCCAAGAGATTGGCGTGTCTGATTTGTGAACCCACAACCCTTGTTATCCGGAACTCTGAATCTATCCGCATCCCAACTGGATCTTCGCAAGAACAGCGAAGATTAGAGATAACGCAAACCATCCAGATTGTCGCTAAACTTGTCTGAATGACTGAAATACTCGCTCTCTCTCACCTTCATTACAAAAATGCAGAAAGAATTAGATCAAAACAAGATGGATTTTACCAGCCAAAAAATAAATTAAAGAAAAAAAAGACGATGGGTTCTAATGAGTCCCATTTCCCACAGTAGCCTCCTGAAACTCGGTGAATCAATTTAATTCTCTTTGATCAGCAGTAGAGGTGGCAATTGCGTGAATCGGATTGAATTCGATTTAGATTGAGTTTCAAGCCAAACCATCTACCCGTCAACCCGTTAATGACCCAAGCCCAGTTAATCCAAACCTGTCTTGACCTAACCCAACCCGCCCCATCCATTAATATATATAATTCATTAACATTGTATTTGGTTTGAAGGAAAAAAGTAGAGAAATGAAGGAAATGTAAGGAAATCTTTATAAACCGTGTATAGGTTTCCATATTTTTCCCTTCCTTTCCCTACCTTTTCCTTCAAATCAAACATAGCCTCAATGATATATATAAATTATAAAAAAAAAAGTGTAACATAAATTGAAGAAAAATACAAAAATTATAGAAAAGAAAAAGAAAAAAAATAACAGAAATTTTATGAAAATATTAAAAATTATAAAAATAATAGAATTTGCAAAAAAAAAACATTGCAAAAATTATATATAAAATTAAAACACAGAAATTCCAAAAAAAGAAACCACAAATTACACAAAATAACAAAATTGTAAAACAATATGACAAATTATAGAAAAATAACAAAAAACTACACAAAAACAAAAGAAATGAATCTACAAAAACCAGATTTATAGAGGAGGTTATGGGGCGGCTCTAGTAATTGAATATTTCATCACAGCAGTGAATGATGTTGGAGAGGGAGCTCATGTGATCATCATTTCCAATCAAGGTTCAAAGTATCGGAAAGGCAAATTTAAGAGACGGGATACACCTTTGATACGCATGGATACGAACGAAAAATTAAGATATGCATGGAAACACATGGAAATGCTATAAATATTCTAATAAATCATAAATAAACATCAATATCACTAAATATAAGACATAAATGAACTATTTATGCATAAAATTAGCACGTTTTAGTGGGTTCTATGAAAAAAAACATATTATAATCAATAAACAGGAAGTCGAGAACAAAAACATACTATCTAATTATGGACATAATAGATCAAGTAATTATTTTGCATGTTTTATTCTAATTTTCTAAAAACTAAATAATTATTTATTTTTATTCAAATAATTATTTTGCATGTTTTATTCTAAAAATTAAATTAAAAATAAGAAAAGTAAATATGTAACAAAAAATTGAATGAATTTATGGACATAATAGATGAAATAATTATTTTGCATATTTTATTATAAAAGTAAACTTAAAATATATATATACCAATGATTCAATGTTTTAAAACACAGAGATGTTCCACTACCTAGAAGCATGAAGCATAATTCAAAACACAAGAGGCGTAAGCTTCCTTAAGAAGGAGGGAGGAAGGGGGGATTTCATTTTTTTTCTTTATCTTTAATAAAAATACTTTATATTAAAAAAACAAAAATGTATAACATTTGTTAAAAGGGGGGTCTTGTCGAAGCGTCGCCGAAGTGGAGCAAGACCCCCCTAACTCTAAAAAATAAAATTGGGCTACATCGAAAAGGGCTACCCCCCAGCCGAAGGGGTAGGGGGCAAACCACTTTCTTTCTCCTTATCTTTTCTAACATTGGCTGAAAATGTAAAAAAAAAAAAAAAAAAAAATTGAAAAAACATATTTATTTTCACTCATTTTTACACAACCTTGAAAAACTTATTGAATCTTGGCATCTTGCAAATTTATAAAAGTTTTTGGCAAATTTTTACAAGATTTAAGTCTTTAGAAAGGTTAAAAGGCTTTTTGGAGGGTTTGGGAAAGAAAGATGGCTTCTGAAATGGGTTTAGAAGCCTTCTTTCGAAATCACTTCTATTTGTGTTTTAATAGTAAAATCATTGTGTATCGACCGATACGGCATCAATACGCCTTCGGCACGACAAAAAGGAACGGTACGATTGATTTCAAACCGTTCCCCGTGCCAGAAGCCTTAGATACAATACGTATCGGCCAATACAGCCGATACATGACGAAATTTTGAACCTTGTTTCCAATGCAAACAATGACAACACCCAACTCAAACCCTTGAGTTCATATCTGCCCTCTGATTTTTTCGATTTGTTGATCATTGAAAGAGAAGTGAACGATAAACAAATGAATAAGAAAAAAAATAAGGCATGACCGATTCAAGAGAGCCATTGATGTTGTTTTGTTGATTCATTTGATCACCACTTACATGATCAATGCATTTGTTCTCTTGGAATCTCAGAAATATAGAAATTTGAAGCATCTAAAGGGAATAGCTAGAAGCAAACAATAGATTAATCGACTCCTTTGCTATGGTTTCTCCTCTGTTGCGGATCCCATTATAGCTAGAAGCCCCTTCTCTTTGCGATGTCCTTTGTTCTCCTCTGCTACCAATAGTATTATCTTCATTTTCATTTACCATGGCACCATGGATTTGGTCATTTTCATGAACATCAATGACTATACAGGTTTCAGACTGTTTTTTATTCTTTCTTTTTTTTTTGTGTTTTGAGCTTGCAAATGGCAATGTTTGCAAAGAAAACCCTAAAAGGTTCTTTATCTACCGGAGAAGATGAACAAGGAGAGAAGAGAGTGTGCCTATCAAAATATGAAGAGGCTAAAAGGGTTATCCGTTGGATCCATGACCCAACCTACCCAAACCATCAAGTTTCTCCCTTGTTGGGTTACCCAATCCACCAGACCCAAGACTAAATGAATACAACCCAACCCACTAATTAATGGTTGGTGATGATGCACACTTTGGCAGCTCTCGACTGGCAGGTGATTCGAATGGCTGGCTAAATAACCCCTACCTGGAATGTGGCTTAGACACCTAGCTGAATGGTTCCTATCTAGAAAATGGCTTGGACGCCTAGCTGAATGGTGACGAGTTGGAGAGGTGGCTCTGATGCCTAGCTGAATGGTGACGAGTTGGAGAGGTGATTCTGATGCCTAGCTAAATGGTGACGAACTGGAGATGTGGCTCTGATGGTTAACTAAGTGGTGACAAACTAGAGAGGTGGCTCTGATGCCTAATTGAGTAGTGACAAGCTGGAGAAGTGGCTCTGATGCCTAACCGAGTGGTAACAAACTAGAGAAGTGACTCTGATGCCTAACTAAGTGGTGATGAACAGAAGAGGTGACTCTGATATGAYCCACAAGGAAACAGTGTTAAAGTGCCCGGGTTGCTTTACCCAGTATGGCCACTCCGATGCTTAAGTCAACGAATAAGAGATTTTTAAGATAGCTAAATGTGAGAGAACTAAAGAGCTACGAGAACTAAATTGTGCATCTACCTTCTGAGATTAGAGGTAAGGCCTTTATATAAACATTGTTTGGCGTGGACATCACACAACACGTCCRGGATCTCCAGGAAGACGTGTCTAATTGCTCCAAAGTCCTCAAAGGTAGTCGTGCACGTAGGTCAATCTTTGCGCCTTACTCGATTTCCTCCAAAACATTCAGTGTGAAAACCGACTTCAGAGAGACCCGGGAGTGATGGGATGCATGCAGAGTTCGTCGGCGAACACGTCTCGCAGGTCACCACCAGGAGATCCATATAAGTATCGAAACACCCGATACGCCCCTACCGACGTATTGGGCAAATCAATATTTTGAACCTTACCCCTAATCAACAAACTCAATTCAACTRGTTGAGAGTCAGGATCACATTCCCCATGCAGTGCCTAAACTTGGGGAACATGACTTCCAACCCTCCACCTTCACCTTCAGCCCTAGAGGTAAGAAAAACCATTTTTTTCTGTAGCAATTTTTTTCCTTTTTAGGATTCAGTTCTCAAAAATTGTGCTCGCATCCTACCACAGCCGTCATTAGAAACATCTCCCCATAAATGAAAAAATATAAGAGATGATACAAATGCAAGGCCGTAAGTGTTGTGAGAAGAAATTTTGTGACAATCAGGTTTCTCTATAAAGTGAAACCTAGTTGGGCTACACAACGGGGGTAACCCATCCCTCAGGGCCCCAACCCATGACACCCCCCCCCCAATCCTGGTGCAGGCGGGATTTAATACCAACCAACCAGTTGGCACCTGGCATTTAGACCTACTGGCCGGGAATTTTTAAAAAATAAAAAATAAAAAATGGACAGAAAAAACGAGGCATGTGCTAGTGATACAATAAAGCATGAATTACCTGTAGAGGGATGACGTGGCTAAAACAAACCATCCGTCAGGCAGTGAGATATAAGTTCAGCACTTCAGAGTTCAGCCATTAGCAAACGGCTCCCTAGTCTCCAAGGAAAGCTATTGCAGAGCTCGGGACAAGGTCTCCACACAAAAGTCTCAACTCACAACTCTACCAAGTACAAACAAAAATTCCCTTACAGGGGCGAATTGGTCCCCCTGGGATTTCCCATGGAGGAACATTTTTGGGCTAACGAGTCACGGGGGTTATTCACGGGCTTGGTGCAGTATCAAATGCATATAAATTCTACCCAAAAAAAATACAAATAAATTCTTGACTAGGCATTGACACATAGTAGGGGTATTTATGTCCAAATATGGAAACCAGATTCCTCGTGGATGAGCCAGAACCATTGGATGGATAACGATCTCTGAGGTGGGTCTACCACCTAGCCATCATAAACATGCAATAATACAGTTATTTGAAGGCTGCATACACCACCACGTCCACCACGTCCATAGGAGAGTAAATAAATAGATAACCCCCAATGGAGATTCTATGGCTACAATATACAGGAGAAGATAAGGAGTTTATTGCTCAAATCCATATTGCTTGCCGGGTTACCGCACCCACTATATGGATCCTATTCTAGCCACCAAGATCCACAAAATCCTGGCTTCCGCTCAAAAGTCAGAAAAAAAATAGACTTCCGCTTCGTTGTCTCCGCATGTAAAATGAGCAAAATGTATTTGTCAGATATACGTCTTATACCTGAGTGTTACTGAAGTAGGCAGTGATGGCCTTCAACCTCCCGTTCAAGAAGTTCTTCTCAACCTGAAGGCAAAAGTAAAACCGTTTGCCCATAAAAAACACAATTAATATCCTATAACCTAAACTTAATAGGAATACAAAATTGAAGGCTGATTTTAAGGTGGCTATCACAAACAAAAACAAAGAATTATAGGATTTTGGTTAGAGATTTGAAGCATGGGAACTAGGTCTATCAGCCTATGCTGAAAACAAGGGCCATAGTAGAGAAAAGTTCCAGAAAAGAAGAGGAATTCAGCAGTGTCTTCTTCAAAACGCTTATTACCAGGAAATAAGCAAATGAAAACAGCAAAAGAAACCCATTCTGTACTAAAGATCATAATTGTCCTAATAATCAGCTATAGTAACCTCCACAACAGAATATTACTAGTATCAGGGTTCATGACATGCATCTCAAACAAAAAACAGCAGAAAGCCAGGATGACTAATTACTAAGAACACTTGACCAACCAAAAGTGATACCCTATCAACCAATATTTGACCAAGAACATATAGGCTGAATGTAGAGAGCGAGTCTCATCACATTGCACTACCAACATGTGTCTTGCAACATCAGATAGAAATAAACATTGGAATAACAATCTAGACATACTAATCTGATGTTAGCAAACAGTAATCACTGTCCTATATCCAATGCAGGAAAAGGAATGCTAAATTCCCTCTAGTCAACATTACCCATTGTATAAATACAACAAGATAAAGTACATCAAATAAGATACCTCTAATGTCCATGGAGGTTGGGCAGACAGAGATAGCTCCGCCAATTGATTGAGGTCCACATTTCTTGGGAGGAACATGACAACTCTGGAAGCAATTCTTCTCGCAGTATTGAAGAGAAAGTGCCTGCCAGGGTGGATAGATTAGATAGGAAAACACAAGAAACAAATCCCTGTGCCAGGATAAAGCAAATCAAGTATTATAAGAGGCCAAACCCATCACATGGCTTGAGCATGGTCTTGATGTCGTAAGTCTGTACTCTAGCATAATCAGGTCCTCCCCAAGGAGGTGACAAGAATACTGTATCAGCCTGCATAACAAAAATGTTTATGCTTAAAAAGCCCATAATGTGGGGGACATGACAAATCACAAAATATTAAAAGCTAAATAGACACATCATAATGGATATAACACAATAAGACAGACTATCAGTTACATATTGCACTAAAATTAAATACTGCAAAAGCAACAGCAAGAACAATAATGGGAAAAAAAAGTCCATCCATACGCAGAAACCATTGGTAAGACTTTTGAGTGCTCTAGAACAGCATATATGTTAACATGGCACATGATAATAGTAGGATCCACCATACGTTGCTCCACATATAAATCATAGTGCATGGAATTCAACCAAGTTATAACCATGGCTTCTATTTTTTTTCTCAAGTGATACAAAAGATGCACATAGAATGTCTATTACAAAGGTCAAAGGATGGAACTTGGGTTTTTTATGCACTGTTCAATGTATGCACTATTGTATTACTGAAATTTCAATCCACAATAAAAGTGATTTCATAATTAGGGGAAGCTCCAAGTGTTCCAAATCATACATCTATCAATTTTCAATCTCCAATCAGAAATGCAATGTGTAGCCTATTTTGGAATTATTATGGTCCAAACTCCAAAAGTCTCATTATCATATTATTCAAACACTTCCTGAATTTGCTCAATGTCAACAGATGGTGTGCTTGAAAAGTAAAGTACGAAAAAAACAAACAACAACAACTAAGAAATCAAACATGATTACCAATCAAGAGTCTAACAAAATTCCCCCTTGTGAATTAAGAGAACAAATAGATGGAGAAGAATGAAACCCAGCTAATTTTTATGCATATTTATATTGATCAGAGAATATAGACAATGCCTTTCCCTAGTCACCTAGCTCCACTCTACCTAGTTACAGACAAATTCTTCAATTAAAAAAAAAAAAAGATTCCCTGAGTAGAAGGCATAATCAATAATAAATCCCATATAGATTTGTAATTTCTTGAAATCCTTCTTTCTGATTCAAAATCATGACTCATGACATTTCAACACTGGTTTATGAGATCATAAATAAAGTAATGGCATAGCATTACTACCTTCAACTTGGGAGCCAACTGAAAATAGTCTCCCAGTATAAAATCTATCCCACCATCAACTCCATAGATAGCTGCATTATGTTGTGCACAGTCAATCTTTTGAGGGTCAATATCAATTGCAATAACATGATTGCTCCTGAAACATCACATACTACATAAATCAAGCATCAAAGTTGGAACTAATAATGCACACAAAAAAAGGTATAAGACCACCTTTCAGGTTTACATCCTCAGAATCCTAAATTTAGACAGAAACAACACAAAAAAGAATGTATCACCACATCAAGTAGCATCAGCATACCTCTTTGCAAATTGGATAGCGTTCCCCCCAACTCCAGTGAAACAATCAACTATGACACCATTACCACAGCGTGATGCATGATGCCTTGCAATAAGCTCAGGAGTGACAGAAAACCACCCTTCTTTGTCCATTTTTACACCATCATCAAATTTAGAGAAGAGGACGTACCTTTGACACCAGTATTTGATAACATCAGCAGGGCATTCTTCTGTTGTACCTGGCAATGGGAAACTACAAATATTTTAGCCTAAGACGGATCCTCATCCAGCTCAACAAGCCACAAGCACCACATGTAAATAAAATCAAACAATCAGTTATAAGCAATGTTCTGAAAATCGTAATCGTATCGTAAATCATAAAGGGGTTTGAAACTTTGAATCGAATCGTATCGTGAATCATATCATAAATCGTAAGATTTTTTCTTATTTTTTCAAAAGCTGTTAAAAAACTCTAAAATATACCTAAATCTCTAAAAAAAAATAGAAAACATGACTTTGCACAAGCTTTCTAACCCATAAACATCTTATAACTATATAGTAATGATAGACTCATAGTTACACTAGTGTCTAGAAGTACAGAGTCTTGTTTCTATTGTTTTAAATTTTAACTTTCAACTTTCAAGTGTTCAACAAAGTAACAAACTACGAACATCAAGTCATCAATTAATAATTATCCATACAATTTATACAATAGTGAGGCAAACTCTACAAATGAAAAGTATACAACTAAAGAAATTAATTTCTTTAAAATTAATGAATATAAAAAGATATTGTGTATAGAACTATGGATGAATTTTAAATCCATTCTAAAAAAAAAAAAAATCAAACTTTAAAGTCTAAGTATAAGTGCTTCATAAATCATAATCTAATGAGGAAGGAAAATATAAACAAGGGAAAAATGAAGAGAAGAAAGAATGGGGAAAAGTTACTGTTTTAATATGAATAATGAAAGAAGAAAACAAATGAACCCTGTTTTCATGTTAGAAAAGAGTGAAAAAATAGAATATATCCCTTTTTTTCATAAAAAAATGGAAGTGAAGATAATAGAATGGAACATGTTTTAACATTAGCAAAAAGGGGGGAAAAAAGAAGCTATTTTTGCACAATAGAAAGCAACCTGTTTTAACCTACAAAGTGCAAATACATCTCTGTTTTTGCATAATACAGTTTTATTTTATGTGTAAAAAAGAATGAAAAATGGGGATAAACCCATGTTTTGTGATTAGAAAAAGTGTGGGGGAATATATCAGGGCTAAACCCCTATTTTCATGCAAGAAAACAAGTAAAAATATTGGGGAAAAGCCCCTGTTTATGCATGGAAAAAGGGTGAAAAGTAAAAGGGCGGAGCCCCTGTTTTTATGCAAAAAAAAAAATCAAGATAAAATATTATAGAACAAGGGGGGAAATTACGAAACTAGGTACCCCTAGCTTTCATGCAAAAATGAATGAAAAACATGGGACAGAGCTCCTGTTTTCATGCCAAAAACTGACTGAAATAAAGGAGAAAGAAGAAGACAAGAAGAAAGGAGGAAGAGGAGGAGGAGGAGGAAGAAAAAGAAAGAAAGAAAGAAAGAAAACAATACAAACCATGTACAGATAATACAAAAACAGTAGAAATCAAAAAACAAAAAAAAAAAATCTCTCACCGCAGACAAGTAGAGGAGGTTTGGAGCTTAACCAAAAAAACGGAGGGTTTCTTCTCTTCCAGTCTCCCACAAAGTCTTTTCCTTCAATGGTAAGTCATGTTTGATCAACCAAAGTGGATATTCTATGTTTTATAACTAAAATGACGATTCTACCCCTCTATGTAAAACAGAAACTTTAAAAAGGAAGAAGGTTAAGTGGTCATTTAATCTTAAGTAAAGATTTTAAACTCTAATTGTATGAATCGCCCAAGAATTGCGATTTACGATTTACACTAGCAATTTGCTTACAAATTGTACAATTTATTCAAAAAATGATTTATATATATATATATATATATGATTTGTATCGTTTTAGCCCCAATTCGATTTGAATCGTACGATTCAAATCGTGAATCGCATGATTTTGAAAACATCGGTTATAAGAATAGTTCACATGACATGACATCAAGTCCACCCTTCCCAAGATCCACATATAGGTAGGACCAGCATTGGGTATGTAGCCTTTTTTAGTACACACGTTTAATAGCAAGTAAAGCAAAGGGTGCTTTGTATTTATTTGACACACTGGAAAACAAGGTAAGTCCCCAAAAGAGCAATATCTGCCAGCATGGATCAATGTATATCCTCTATCATGTGAGAAAGGTGCAATGTCTGCCAGCATTCCTCTTGATATATATTGCTTGACAAGGAGTTCTTCCAAACTAAAGAGATAATTAGATAAATGGTCTCTCAAAACATCCTAACTGGAAATAGAAGTTTGAGCCTACTCAACTCTGCTAGTGAAGCACCATTATAAAAGATGCTCAAATTTGAAAAGCACAAGTCAATAGGAAAAATAAGAAATAGATATCTGAAGATAGGATGCCACCAACACCAGATTACCTTGACATGATTGTCAATTTTCTACAACAGAAATTAAAGTTTGAGAACAGACAGTCCCTCTAATTGTTGTCTAGGGATGAAAATTACTCTTCTAGACTTCTAGTGCATAGGACTGAAACAATCTTGACAGAGAATCTTCAAAATTTAGCTCATGTTTCACCCCCTAATATTTGGGCATCTACTAGGATTTAAGATCTTAAAATGGTTTTGCTGGAATGGTGGAGCAGACTTGGTCAAAGATTCAGGGGTGGAAAGGTGGCTCCCTAAACCAAGCAGGAAGGGAGACGTTAATCAAAGCAGCAGCAACTCCAACTGCACTATACTACGTGAGTCATTTCAAGGTCTCCAATGAACTCTGCAAAAAGATGAATAGTATGCTTGCCAATTTTATTTGGGGTCAGAAAAGATCAGAAAACAAGATAAAGTGGATTGCTTGGAGTTCTTTGTGTTAAAAAAATACAGAGGGTCTTGGTTTCAGAGATCTCTACTGTTTCAACCAAGCATTACTAAACAAAGCTGCTTGGAGATTGCTACAAAATGAAAATGCTCTATGCTGCAGACTTCTGAAACAAATTTATTTTCCTCATACGGATTTTCTCTCTGCCTCTGTTGGAAAATCCCCATCCTAGGCTTGGAGAAGTTTGATTTTTGGGCGTGATCTTTTGACAAAGGACCTAATTTGGAGGGTTGGTAGTGGAAGGAAGATTAACATCTGAAATGATGCTTGGATACAAAGCTGCCTCTCGGCAACATGGTTTCTGACAGACCTGCAAACTGTGAATTTCAGAAGGTTAGTGATCTCATTTTAACCAATCCTTGTAGATGGAATCTCACCATTCTCAGGCGGCTTTTCTCTACTGCAGAGGTAGCTGCAATTTTGAAAATTCCACATGCCATTATGGACTCTGAAGATAAACTCATTTGGATATTCAATAAAAATGGTGAATACACAGTGAAAAGTGGTTATCATTCCCATTCAAATGATAACCCAGAAACTTCCTCCAGGGCAGCTAATCGTCCCCATCTTCCAGAATACATCTGGAAAAAAAAAATTGGCAAATCCAGGCACCACCGAAACTGAAAAATTTTCTTTCAAGAGCTATTTCTAATGCTTTGGCAGTTAATCTTCTTCTGCTCCAAAAAAAGGTTGTGGTTACTTCTCATTGTTTCAGATGTGATGGAATTGAGAACATCATGCACATGTTTACCTGTGACTTTGCTAGAGCTGTTTGGCTTGCGAGTGGCTTAGCCATTCGGACTGATTCCATCTCACTCATCCTTCACCAATTGGCTAATGGAGGTCTTCCAATCAGATAGGGAATCCCCTTTCCACTCCCCTCAATGGTTACAAGCCTTCACGGTAGAATGTTGGGAAATTTGGAAGGCTCAGAACACAGCTGTTTTTAGAGGTAAACAAATTTCGCCACTACAGGTTGCAGAGAAAGCTCCAGAGATCAATTTGACYGCAGAAAGTTCTTTTGGGCACCACATGGATAACCCTCTTCCCACCATTTCTATAAGATGGTCCCCTCCTATCGAAGGGCAGACCAAAGTCAATGTTGACGCAAGCTTTCAGGCTAAATCCAGTTTGGCAGCCATTGTTTGCATAATTAGAGATCATGAAGGCCATGTTCTAGCTGGCCGAGTTTTGGCAACTCCCTGCGGTTCGGTGCTGACAGCGGTAGTCCTTGCCTTGCACTTAGGATGTATGGAGGCTGCTGCTTTTGATCAAGTATCAATCCACTTTCAATCAGACTCCAAAGAAACCATCTCTTTGGTTCAACAATTTATGTCAAATGATACTCTGACACTATATCACCCCCTGGGTTCTATTTGCTGGGATATCAAGGCCTTACTGGCCAATATGTTAGCATACTCTTCTGCAGCCTCGGTTTTTGAGTTTCCTTTTAATGAATTACTTCCTCTTTGTGTACCAAAAAAAACAGATCTTAAAATAATTTAGATAGGCTAAATTTTTTTTTTATAGGAAACGGTAACTTTCATTAGATAAACCATAAGAAACAACTGTGACCTTCCAAAGTAAAAGGTGACCCCTGAATAACAAAAATCTTACAACACTGCACAAAACATCTGCAGCCTCGGTTTTTGAGTTTCCTTTTAATGAATTACTTCCTCTTTGAGTACCAAAAAAAAACAGATCATAAAATAATTTAGATAGGCTAAAACTTTTTTTTTATAGGAAACGGTAACTTTCATTAGATAAACCATAAGAAACAACTGTGACCTTCCAAAGTAAAAGGTGACCCCTGAATAACAAAAATCTTACAACACTGCACAAAACAAAAACTCCCGATTCACCCCCTGTTTTGCTAGGTAGTCAGCTAAAGCATTTGCTGACCTCCTAGACCAATACACTTTTGCATCCAGCTCCCTTGTGAGGCTCAATAATTCCCTTACCTGTTGTCTAAGGGACCAYGTTCCCAAACTGTTTGATTGCAGCCATCCTATTACTAATTTAGATAGGCTAAAATTCCAAATTACCATTTCCCTTGAATAACCTCATATAGCATGCGTTCATGATTTCCCTTGTTTCTTACTGTCTCTATCAATTTGTGTTGCTGAATAAAAAAGACTAATCAAATCAAAAACATCAGATAACTCCACCCTTGTTCGGATGAAAACTCCATAGTTGGAAGCGACCAATTTCTGGAGCTGGACGACATGGAAGC